CGAACTGAGCATTAAACGACACAGACGAAGGACACAACGCAGAAGGAAGAACGCAGATTGGCAACTGATTGCAGCCAACCAAAATTCAAGCGCGCGCGTTTGATAAGATAGAGAGGGTGTTGCTCCACTGAGAATCGGAGAGGGGTATGCGGTGTCCGCAAAACGTTCGGTTTCGGACAAATAAGCGACGGACTGAAACTAAGAATTTGGCAACAGATAATTTAGAGAGAGAGAGAGAGGGAGGGATATCGAGGAGCTTAGCCAAGGCCACACAAATGCCGTTTGATAAAGATATTTTCTTTTTCTGATTTTGAATTGTTTTTTCTTTATGAGCGATTTTAAGCGACAATGCTATGGTGTGGGGAGAACAGATTTGGACTTTAAGCCATCATGACCACATGATGACACGCCATAATTTAGGATGCAAGCGAAAACGCTCTTAACCACTTTAACTACAGTTAATCTACGATTTTGTATGTTCATTTGAAAATTATGCCCTTTATCTTCTGTAAAGTTGCTATTATGCCCCGAGCAATACGTCCTGGAATTTCTCTACGGAACTCGAATTTGGGTGTCTAAAGGGAAGCAAATTATTATAGGCAACTGACCTAACACACGTATACGTGTACCAATTCTAATATAGCTAACAAAGCGCTTTATTTGGTCATTATTGATTTTATGTTAAATTAATTTGTTAGTCATTTAATACTTCGAAATTTTTTTGGTGATTTTAAGACTTTCCTAAAATACTATAATCAAAATATTTTTTATGATTAACATATTTATTACTATAATTAACCTAATGTACTTAATTATCATAGTCTATAATATCGATAATATCGGCAAAATATTGAGGATATTATTATTTTTTCGGGTCAATAATATTTTGGAATGTATCCATACACATATCGTATAAATATCAATAATATTGAAAAATATCGATATCGATAATATCTCTCACACTTCAATAATATTTGGCCAAAATATCGCTATAATATTGATAATTTCGAGATGATGAAGACAATGAAAATTTTGAATAGTTATTTACACTAACACCTCATAAGGTTTCTTGTGTTTTCACAAAACCCCATAATCTAAAAAATTACACGAACATCCCATGAGGTTTCAGTTTGTTTTCATGAAACCCCTTTTTGTTGATTATTTGTCAAAAAATTGATGATTTTATTTATAAAAAAAAATTTGTGCAAATGACAAAATAAACATCAATGAAGTATATGTAATCTAATATCAAAGGCCAGCTTTGTCATTTGGATAATTTTTTTGTATACAATTATTAATCTTTGGATGAGAAAAATGAAAAGGAGTTTTGTGAAAATAATTTTAAACATCAGTGGGTGTTCTTATAATATCTAAAACCTCAAGGAGTTTTGTGAAAAAACTGAAAACCTTAAGAGGTGTTAGTGTAAATAACTCAAATTTGAACTTTATAGAAACTCTACGTGATACTAAGTCACTCATGTATCTTACCATACAATGTGTAAAGTGTAAAATATTATAGTAAATCATTATAAATAAATGATTATGGTGTGTTTAATATTTTTTTTCATTAATTACTACATATTTTATACACTCACAATGTTTGTCAACTCACTATATAATCAACTTAAATCAGTTAAACCCATTATACAATATATTTTCTTCCAATTTTTTTTTTGTGATAAAGTAATAGATAATTGAATAAATGAACATTCTCCAAACTTTCAAGAAAAATTTATAAGTTTTTCTTACCATTTTTGTGGGTTTTATTCAATTTTTCCAATATTTTCATCAAAATTTCCGTGTTTTTGGATTATTGATATTTTAGACATTAATAATTACTAGATATTCCGCACATAGAGGATACCACAGTAGAAAAGTGAGTCAAATTATTTCTTTCCTCCCCCTCCTCCTCCAAGTTCGATTTCACTAAGGGACAATTTTAAGACAACCCATTCCCCCTTCCTAGCGAATGACAAAAAAATGACCAGATATTCCATTGAATCTGGTGGCCAGGGAACTTAATTATGGCTAATATTGTGACATGTGGAATATGTGCATGTAAGACGAGGCAAACTTCGTAATATCTGCTGCTTATGTTATGTTATGATATCCTTCCACAACAATACAACACATTCAACCAAAAAAACAAAGACCTTTTTGAGTTTTGACTTGGTGCAAAGTCTCCGAAGATAAAATAATAAGAAGAACCCATCTTAATATACGTGGCCTCTTTTCCATTATATATATATTTGGCTGCTAGAGTAATAAGAATATACCTTTTTGCCCAGATAAAACATCCATCTGCTGCCTTTTTGTCTGTGCTAATGTTTTCATACAGATTGAAAATTGTAATATATATCATCTTTGTGTGGTCCTTGGGAAACCAAATGAGTCGTAAATAAATAGAATACATTGCTTATAGCCAAGGGGGAAGTATGAACAGACGAAATCCAGGAGAAATAAGAAAAATGAGAAGAAGAAAAAATGTCACAAATGGGCCTAATTCAAACAAGTCTATCCGGATTAGATTGAGATGTGGCTGAAACTAGGCTACCATTTTCCCCAAAGTACATAGCAAAATACTCGCTTTAAGTTGCCTAACTTATATATACATATGTGTAAGCCAGTCCAATCAACAAGTCCTTCAATATCTTTTGAAAAGAAAAAAAAAAAAAAAAAAAAAAAAAAAAAAAAAAAAAAAAAAAAAAAAAAAAAACAAGTTCTTCAATCTTTGCACAACATCATGATGCTACAAAAATATAAATATGTGTAGCTCTCAACTTTTATTATTTGTACCCTTTTTATTCTATATGCACTGATTTGATATAGCATCCTCAAGGTTTTGCAGTTACATGAACGCCATTGCCAACCGATTGAGCTTGGGTTGCCAGACAGACTGCAGCAAGCATATCGATGGATCTCGGCTTCTTCCTCTCTTTCATGGTGGTATCAGATATTGATGGGAGATGATGATTGCATTTCACAAAAAACTTCTCCTTTAAGATAAGATAGAGCCTGAAAATAAATAGAGAGAGAGAAAACAAAAAACATAAATTTATCAGCAACTGCCTGCAAGTGCAACTCTCTTGGGTGGCAAAATTAAGTTTAACAATTAAAGAGATCGATGGAGTTGTTACCTCGCTCATGTAAGGTCGCAAATCTGGACAAGGCATTGTGCACTGAGAGGCGGTGCACATGACTCTAAACATTTCATGCATGTCTACATCCTCCCAGTCTTCATCTAGTAATTCATGGAATGCTCTCTTCATCAACAGTGGACGGGCCTATCATATACATACACACACACACACATATATATATATATATAAATGTTAAAGCAACAAAATTACTGTTATTATTTAATTAGGCATTAGGTTTAGAACAACTAACCCACTCAAGCAGAGTTTTGTCGTCCTGTGGCACGCTTGTTTTGCAAAACAGCCTCAAAAGCAAGACACCATAGGATAGGATGTCGGATTTTACTAGAGCAATTGATTCGAGGTCTAAATAATCCCGAAGTGAACACCTACCAATTGCAAACATTAATATATAAATAACAAGTAAAACATGATCATGCATGGGTTAATTATAATAATTAGGAAGCTATATGCATACTTTTGGTTGTTGATTGGCCTTGTTAATTGCTTCAGATGAAGCCAGGTAGCTCGACCGAAACCAGAGATCTGTTCAAACAATTAACAATAGTAATTAGTGAAGAACAAGAATAACACACAATTAATTAGTTTGAAATTAATTTGGAGATTAATTTTAATTTTAATTTCACCAGTGGGCGTAAATCACGTCTGAGAAAAATGTTGCTGATGAGTAATTGGCCGTGAACAACAGGACCCTGAGGACTTTCTTCATGCATATATCGAAGCCCTCGAGCAATTTCTATAGCTATCTTGAGTTTATCTTGAAATGTCAATTTCAAGTGTTTTCCTCTAGAGCCGTAGAGGTTTGTGTCTAATGAGCCTCTTTTTGTTGAGGGAAAGACGAGAATAGTAGTATTTTCACTCTGATAGTAACCAGCCAAGCTGAGTATATTTTTGTGGTGCATAGACAAGGCTGTTTTCTTTTCTGCTTCAAGAACGTCCCTGCTCCAGCTCCTGCTCGAATCCGACGTGCTGTATCTCTTCACCATTACTTGGTAGCCATAAACAGGCAGCAAACCCTCGTAAGCCAAATACTCACTCTTCTCATCCCCCAGAATTATCCTTGTCCTGAACCCAAACGTCATCTCTTCCACCATCTCCCAGCTCAGCTCCAATGGCACTCCCAGCACAAAATCAGCCTGGCAGAATTTTCTTGATGAAGCATTGTAGTTTTGCAGAGAAGGCCCTTTTGAGAGTGCCTCAACTATCACCTTTTGATCACTTTCTTCGTGTGCCTTAGTCGACATAGTTGGCTTGGCTTTTGAGGATCTTTTTTTCTTTCTTTCTATCTTCTCCAACTTGCTTGAGCTTTCGAGATATTACAAAAATGGCTTCCACAGCATCACTCAGCAGTACGCACTAGAGACATATTTGCAATTACATATACCTTATAGCGAGTTAGGTTTTGTAGTTAGTTTTTTTTTTTTTTTTGGTCAACAAGGTTTTTTAGTTATCATACAACAAGGACAGACGTGATTAACTATTCCTTGGTCGGACCGATGATTGCATGAGTTGTCTTTTTGCTTCTTTGATTACTCGGTGTTGCCGGGCCGGGCGGCTTTTAATTCCATGTATTATTAATTTCGTATATGGATCATGAACAATTAATTAAAAACATAGCAAGCTTGCACATGAGTTCGATTTCTCTTCCCATACATTACAGTAATTTAGAATATCGCTTTATCAAAAAAAAAAAATTACTTTCAGTTCTGATTAAGCTCTCGAATTAGATTAAAAACAAAGAAGGCATGGATGAACAAACATAACGTTTTTGGCATATATATATTATTCTAATAAATGGGAAAAACCTTCCAATATTCAAAACACAGCTTACTATAAATGTACTTGAATAGTAGCATTAGATTGGGGAATATATATAGCATCATGAGATCCATTGTTAAATAGTATTTAAATATTTATAATATACACTCGGTTAGCACATACATTTTTTTGTTTTCTTAATTAATATTGAGTCGAAATGAAATCTTGTACACATAGGATGATGTATTGATGACTAATTTAGCGGCAGAGTGGTGGAATCTGTACGCCCTTGGGTGCAATTTTGGCATTGTAACATTCAGTGGTAAGGGCCGTGTCCTTCACAGCGGCGCCCAGGTAGGAGAAGTTAATGTCGGCCATCTCAATCCCGTCACAAGGGTTTGAAGAACTGCATTGTAAGGAGACGGCAATATTTCTGGACGAGGTTCCCCTGATGTTTCTGAAATGAACGTTGCTAATCTTCCACTTTGATGCCGCCCCACCAACTGGGCCAGTTCCAGACTTCGGCTTCTTCTTTCCGTAGTTTTGATCAATCACAATTGGAATTTGAACCTGATCCATGACAATGTTTTCGTAGGTAATATCGCTTGCTTCTCCTCCACTTTCCGCAGCCCAGGTCTTGATTCTGGCACCATTGGTGGTGTTTCTCAATGTGCAGTTGCTCACATGGATCTGGCTCACGCTCTTGTCGTCTATGCGCTTCCCAAGGCTCCCCACACTGCATTACCAAAAAAAGAAAGAAAGTAAATTTGACTTACACTCTTCAAATTCAAATTACCTTAAATAATATCCAATTTTTATAAGTAAAAATTCATGACTGGCTTGACAAAAAAAAAAAACAACCCATGACTAAGATCCAACTCATTAAGTTACCTTATTAAGCTCAATATCTGATTTATTATAATTTTTTTATTGCAAAAATACCCCTATTTATATTTCAACGTGTAATGGGGTGGTGTTTTAATTTTTGGTTCCCCAATTTATTGTGGTGATTCCCTCTAAGAATTTTGTTTGTAATTAATTATCCGTTTTATTATTATTAAAATTCATCGTTTATTGTACTTAATTTTTTCATGGATAATAATCTACCTATTACTTTTTGATATAAATTATTGTGTATTTATATTTTCTATAAATTACTGTGTACCTATTTTTCTATAATAATCTAACTATTTTTATTTATTTATAAATTATTGTGTATCTATATTTTCTATAAATTATTGTGCACCTATTTTTATGTAAAAAAATTTGGTAAACAATATATCTATATTTTTATAAGTATATATTTATATTTATATTTTTCACAGGTACATTATTGGATATGTAATTTACAGATTTTGTGTGTGGGGCAATTTTAGGGGTGATATTGATATGTTATTGATATGGAGTATTAATTACAATTATAGCAGTTAATGAAATGCTTGAAATAAATTATAAATAAAATATGAAGTCTTGTGGCAACGATGTAAAAACATAAAAATACTATGATATCTTATATCCTACTGGTCATTTAAATTTGAAATTGGCTTTTACATAGATTTATAAAATGATGGGTATATGTTTAGGAAATAGAAAATGTAGAGACCTATATTGGACAAGCCCTACAAAAAAAAAACCCAATTAATTATTAATTAATCCTCATGAACGATCTTAATTAAGGATTATTGCATGCATGCATGAAGTGATTACCTGATGCCATGTCCTGGGCCACAAGTGATGTTGTTGACAAGGATGTCGTTCGAGCCCTGGCCGATGGAAACACAGTCATCACCGGTTCCGATAACGCTATTAAGGACTTTGACATTAGTTGAAGTGCTTATGTGCACGCCATCTGTGTTAGGGCTATCATCTGGAGCAGTAATGTGGACGTTGTTCATCGTCAAGTTGCTGCAGCCATAGATGTGGGCGTGGAAGAACTTGCTGTTCAAGGAAGTGATCCCCTCGACCAGGGTGTTGTTCACATGGTTGAACTTAAGAGACTGCAACAAACAAGAATCAAATAATTAATTAAATGGCCTCATAACATAAACAAGACTGCGTGCTCTTCTATTAATTAAGTATGCTTACAGATGGGGCTTGAGCGCAGCTGGACTTGTCCTTGCAGCCACTGCTTTTCCATGTACTCTCACCTTGACCGTCGAAAGTGCCTTCACCGGTGACTATCAAACCGTCAATCATCTCAAATGTAAACCATTCTGGAGACGCGTATAGACTGAGATCAGTGCTGGCTTTCACATATCCCTCAACTTCAACTATGATTGGCTCCTTTGAGCTGGTGCATGGCCCTTGAAATATCACAGGCCCTGTCATAAATGTCCCTTTGGGAATCAAAACCTTTGTTGGACCAGAGTAGTTTCCTCTACATGCAGCTACCCATGTCTTGATGAATGCCTGCATGCATGCGTAGACACAATTAATTAATACACGTTCATTGAAGAATAATTAATAGGAGAACAAAACGAAACAAAACAAAACATGCATGCATGATTTTGATGGAAACTCACCGATGCATTGTCATCACTAGGGCTTTCACCAGGGCCGGCTTCACCTGGGCCTGCTTCCTCTTCTGAAGAGTCCATCTTCTCGTCATCCACCTTCTCATCATCACCCGGCAACGACGGTAAATCGAGCTTGGCACCAGCTACGGTGCTCTTACCTCCTTTCATCTGGTCTTCGGTCTTAGCACCGAAGGCTGTGACATCAAATACTTTCCTATTGGTATCTGTAACGCTACGACGGGCACTTGCCTTGAAAAGATGTCCACGGGATACGCCATCGGCCACGCAAGAAAGCAAAGCTAAGCCAAGAAGAATAATAGCCTTGGCTGATGATCTCCTTGCAATGGCCATATTTCCCATAGACATCTTTCTATGTACAGATTTTGTAATTTTTTTAGAACTTTTTTAATCTGTTTACTGAAATGAACAATTGGGCATTTGCCTCCTTATATCAATTTTGGGGATCTATTCTTAGAAGCTCCAACTGGAAAACTATCTAAATATTGTGATCCTAGTCTTTTCTTTTCAATACTAGTTCTATGTTTAGTGATATGTCCCCAAATTTAGCCATGCAACCTCTCTAAACAGGCATAACAAACACCGATTGTTCATCATCCTCCGCTGCACCACTCATTAAAAGGAAAAAACAGTCCTATACCATCGGATGCGGGACCCGTATTGCATATCAGTCATGGCCCACAAAGTAAAACAATTCTGGTTTTGTCTCAAGCCAGCCCAAAGCTGACCTAAAGTCTTTTGGGCTGGGTCGAGAAACATTCACTCACAAGCACAACTAATTGGGCTTTCTTTTTTCTTTTTTTATTATTATTTTTTCCAATTTCTTACGGAAAAACCAGAAACTAGTCGGGATATTTTCGTGGTATGTGAATTACACAATTTTCAAGTATTTTGCTCCGATTATATCCATTGAATTTGTGTCTCAACTCCAATCCAATGAACACATACTAGGCTTTAAATTGGTGATTATGGAAGTAGTTTGCGAAGTCCAAGTTCCAGTCCGACTGAGAAAATCTGCCGCAAGAGCCTGGATCCTAGAGCAGAGCACTCTCTCTGACTCTCTGACTCTCTGACTCTCTGAGCCTCTGAGCCTCTGAGCTTGGCTTGGCCGCTGCCATAGTTTTAACAAAAGAGTAGGCTTTTCTCTCTTTCTCACTTTGGATTTCATTTATTCTTTTCAATAATGTTAATATTAGAAATTTATTTAGAAGAAGAAGAAGAAGAAGATGATGATGGAGGCACTGGAATTTGTAATGTCCGTGGAATTCTGGAGAATGGCGGTGCTCTGGACATTCTGTCTCCTCATCTCTTACTGGAAGCTCATTGCTTCAAATTCTTGTCCTTCCAAACCACCACCTTCACCTTCAGCATTTGGACATAGGCCTCTCTGCATTATCACTGGTGTATGTATGCCTTCTTCACTTCTTCTTCTTCAATTTCATTCATTGCTTTATGTAATGTTATTCAATATTAATACTTATCCAGGCAACGTCTGGATTGGGTGCGGCTGCTGCCCATGCTCTCTCCGCCCAAGGTTTCTTCGTGGTTCTTGGTAAGCATATTCCTGTTTGTTTTCACTCATCAATCAGTCCTGATGATAGAAAATTGTCATTTCTTTGCAATAATATTGTCCAATAAATGCTAATTAACAACTTCTTTCTCACTTTATAAGAATTATCTAAGATGCATATTCCTCTCTGCAGTTGGACGCACATCCCACTCGTTAGCAAAGGTAGGTACCCTATATCTCCTCTTCTTTTAGCTTATTCTTTATTGGGTCTTGCTTCAAATGATTTCCTGATATTAATTGTTTGTGTCATAGACGATGATGGACATCAAAACTCGGAATAAGAATGCACATCTCAAAGCATTTCAGGTTGATCTCGCATCGTTCGACTCAATTCTTCAGTTCAAAGCCTCCCTACAGAAGTGGCTTTCTGACTCAGAGATGCACTCTTCCATCCAACTCCTTATAAACAATGCCGGGATACTCGCAACTTCTTCCAGACTCACTTGTCAAGGCTACGATCAGTAATAACTCTATTTTTCTTTTTATCTATGTACTGCTATAAGAATTTTTTCTCCCTTACATTAGTTAACATTTCAATATGACACTTGGCACTACATCCAGGTTTCCTTATCTCATGCATTGCTTACTAATGATTTCACATTTTTCTTTCTTTCTTTCTTTTCTTTCCTTCCTTCCAGGATGATGGCTACAAATTACTTAGGTGCATTCTCTCTGACCAAACTATTATTACCACTTCTCAGAAAGAGTCCAATTCCTTCCCGTATAGTGAATGTAACGTCCTTCACACACCGAAGTGGTAAGAATCTTTCCGATATGTGTACTGAGAGCTTTTTAATTCATATTACTTTGTTGGACTATACATCCATAAAACCGTAGTTACATCGCTATGTTTGTCAGGATAGTTTTGTGCATGACTCCCTAGATCATGTTTGGCAAATGATATTTGCCCAATTTTAATGAACTTTATAATACAGGGCAGGATATGCTGTAATGAGAGTCCTTATCCTATCATTTCTGGATATGGATCAATTTGACTAGACCTTGGATGAAAAATGGCTTTCAAGTTTTCTACTCTTGTTGAACTGCTTTACCTTAAGATGCTTAAAAAGTTATAAAATGTAAATTTATTACTGATTCTTCCCCTCCCCCGTCTCTTCAGTTTTGAATGTACAGGTTAACAAGGACATTGTATCTGGGAAGTGCTTCGGCAGATCAAAACGGTACCCATATGCTCATGTCTATGAGTATACCAAACGTAAGCTCTGATTACCGTACGAGTTACCCTAGAAAATCTGCTCTTTCTATTCTAATTTGAACATGCCCCTT